CAGAGGGGCTCCAGCCCTCAGAGCATCTTTGTGGCCTCCTCTGGACTCGCTCCAACCAGTCGATATCCTTCTGATGTTGACTGTCCTTGTGCTGGGATTGCCCCGACCCAGATGCAGGGACCTTGCCCTTGGTCTTGTTGAATTTCATGGGGTTCATATGAGCCCACCTGTCACGGACCCACTGGATGACATCCCGTACCACACAGCTTGGTGTCACTGGCAAACTTGCTGATGGTGCATTCAAACCCACCGTCCACATTGCCTACAAAGACGTTGAACAGCACCGGTATGAACACCAACCCCTGAGGGACGGCACTCATCACTGGTCCCTACCTGAACACTGGGCCACTGACCGCAAATGTCTGAGTGCGAACATCCAGCCAATTCCTTACCCACTCAGTGGTCCACCCACCAAATCCATGTCTGTCCAACTTGGAGACAAGAATGTCATGAGGGACATTATATCAAGATATGTTCAAACATAAACTATGTATGTGTGCATTTTTATATGTATAACAAACACAAAAAATATATTTGCCAGGAGAAATGCCACTGTATGTTTCACATAAGATTCTAACATAGTTTTTCATAAATGTTGAATAATTTAAGATCCCTTTTAGAAAGAAAACCAGTAATTATACAGGCAGCTTTGGCTTACAGACATGTTTGGCTAACTACCCACCACATGTGAATTTTCTGCTTTCATGTAACAGTGATTCTATCTGAATTAGGTCTTAGAAGAAAGGCTTCACAAAACTGCACTTTTTCCATATTGTCTTCAGCTATTTTTAAGAAATATTTTATTGATTACTTGAAAAATGCTCCTTAGACAAAGACCAGCTCCTATGGGCAGAAGGGATTTAGATGTCTTAAAAGAACAACTACTTAACAGATTTATTTTGTAATGTGAATTTTCAACATACTGCTTTGTATCGCAGAGTACAGCTCTTAGGTATGTTCCCAACATTAAAAACACTTGAAATTACCCCTTTTCAAACTCACAGAACTCCTGCAAAGCACAATGTCTCCTGGCTTTTAGCATAGGGTCTGGAGAATATGTCTTATGAGGAGCGACGGAGGGAACTGGGCTTGTTTAGCCTTGAGAAGAGGAGGCTGAGAGGAGACCTGCTCACTGCCTACAACTACCTGAAAGGAGGTTGTGGAGAAGTGGGGGTTGGTCTCTTCTCCCTAATGACAGATGATCGGCCGAGGGGGAATGGTCTCAAGCTGCGCCAGGGGAGGTTTAGATTGGATGTAAGGAAGAAGTTCTTCACCAAAAGGGTTATCACACACTGGAACAGGCTGCCCAGGGAGGTGGTGGAGTCACCATCCCTGGATGTGTTTAAGAGACGGGTGGATGAGGTGCTGAGAGATACGGTTTAGTGGTGGACAGATACGGTTGGACTGGATGATCTCTAAGGTCTTTTCCAACCTAGTGATTCTATGATTCTATGATATGAAAAGCCTTTCTCAACCTCAGCACTATACTCTTACCTGCTACCTACAAGTCAACCAAAATTTCAGTTTAGCTTTATCTAATGTACTTTTTTCAGTTTGGATTCGATTTCTACAGAAGAGAAAAATAGTTCACTCACTTTCTATGAAGAAAATGTGCCAGGAGGAAAAATAAAAAACCACCAACAAAACCTGAATAGTCTATATTTAAGTTTAAATCTACCTTGTTTTGTCTTACTGAAGCTGAAAATTTGGCTGAGGTAACTGTTCCTTTACACAACAAAAATGTTTAAAATACAGTTAAGAACAGTGAAGTATTTATTAATCTGCAATATTCAAACTGCATTTATTACACCGCTGTCTTTAACTGAAACCCTCTTCTCATTAACACTGTAAACGAGAAAAATTATTCGTTGCCCATCTTCCAGCTTGACACTTCATCAAAGTCTTCCAAGTTAACCTTTAATCTTGTGATTGAGCGGGAACAGTGCAGACATTAAGTAAGCCACAGTGAGCAGAGCTTTGGCATTCCGCTGGGAACACATGCCCGTGTCCTGGCTGGAGAGTGCGGCGGCTCCCTCCCGCTCTGCCCTGCTTTCTCACACCGGCACCACAGCTGTACACACCTACCTACACTCAGCTGGCAGCCTCCACCTCCTGGGATCCCACAGGGTTGAGTGCGCTCCACCAAAGCCAAAACACACACCTCTGTGGGTGCTCCTGAGGCGTGTCGGCGCTGCTGCAGGCAGCAGTGCCCAACTGCCTTTCATTTTGTGTTTGGGAAAAGCACTGCAAGCCTCGCCTGATCCCTTCACCCCTCAGCGTGCCCCTCGTCCTCCACCCGCCGCAACCGCCCCAGCTGCCGCAGGGAGAGCAACTGCTGCCGAGGGCCACACGCTCTAGCCAGGCCGCAGGGAAACGGCCAGGGGGGCCTTTTCCGAAAGGGAGTAAACCTCAACGCAATGGCGAGGCCAAAATCTGGAAAGTGACCCACTTAGGCACATGCAGAAGATGAAAAGGATCAAACTGTTCCCTAACTTCAAAAGGTTACTGGACACAGAAAGGGCAGCAACTTCAATACTTCCATAACCTGAAAGGTAGTAAAAGGCAGTTTCTGCCTGAGCAAGAAAACAAAGGAAAGGCAGGTGACAGCATGGTGATTGCTTTAATAGCAAGACCAGTTGTTCTCTGGGTACCCAGCCCCGGTGACGGTAGACAGGGAAGGGGACAAGAATGAAGACCCCAGAATCCGAGGGGAAATGGTTAGTGACCTGCTACACCACTCAGGCACACATAGGTCTAGGGAACCAGATGGGATACACCCCAGGGAGCTGGATAGAGCTGGTGGAACTGCTCACCAAGCCACTTTCAATGTCCTGGCTAACTGGGGAGGTCAGCCAATGTGATGACCATCCCACAGTAGTGGGGCTGGAAGGAGGGTCTGAGGAAGTTCAGGCCTGTCAGTCTGACCTCGGTGATGGGGAAGGTTATGGAGCAGACCACCCTGAGTGCCATCTCATGGCATGTACA